AGAGAAGATAAAAATATGCCATTCTGGTCAAAGAATCCTTAGGAAAAAAAAAAAAAAAAAACTTTCTGTTTGAAGCTTCAAAGGGCTATACTGTTCCCAAAACAGACTAACAAACAGAAATTCTACTTGGTATGATACTTTGAATACTAATCTACTGACTACCAAAGTGCACTGCTCAAGGCCAGGAGGGGTTAGAAATTTAAAAAACAAGAGTAACATCAGAGTCATGTGTACAAGGGATGAGACACAGCCTGTCAATTATTCTATCATACCCTCAAAACCATAGGAAAAATGTTATTTAACAGAATTTCTGCTTCAAATTTTTTCCTTCTGTTCCAAGCCACAAACCACCTCAACCATTTCAAGCCAAGTGGCTCCTTTTGCTTGCCTAAGATACTTTGAAAACTGATTTTACATTAAATAACTGCACAGGATAATGGAAAAAAACACTTTACTTTAGGAGGTGTATGAAATGAAAGCTAATGGGACACGGCAAGCCTTTACCAAAAGATGAGAAGAAAATGGTCAATTCATTTGACAGGGTCAGCAAAGCTTGACTATAAGAAATAACACAAAAATCTCAGGCTCCGGTCTATTCTTTTATGAGAGAGGAGAGAGAGAGAGAGAGAGAGTGTGTGTGTATGTGTGCGTGCACACACATGCGTCCATATGCTAGCATAAAACAGCAAGGTCTATTCTTAATAGTTATGGTCTCATATAGTAATATCAAATTTCTGATCCATTATTCCAAATCTGTTAATTGTACAAAGATCCCTCCTTCTATGGAGTGACATTAACCTGCCAAAAACAGTTAATTTCCCTTAGATAGTTAAGTAACTTTGCAACTCTGAGATTAAGAAATAAATTAAACTTAACCTTTTATATTGTGTTTAGGTAAAAGTATAGTAATAGCTCTGCAACCTTTTTTGGTATAAAATTTATTTCACTTTAATGCAGGAAACACATTTTTAATGGCACTCGCATTCATTTATAAATAACTTTTTAAGAATTTGTGTTTCTGTTTTTTGAAGGTATTTTGAAATACTTAAGTGAATAAGCTATATAAAACTAGTAACAGTTTAAAATTTTACAATTAAGCTAACCATGAAAATTGCATTACAGAATTTTAGTCTGATGTATTTCTTAAAAATAATTGAGTGATTTGCTAAATTTACCAAGATTATTTAACACTTAAGGGTAGGTTATTTAAGCTAATAAATTTAATAAATATACTAATTAAAATAAAACTAAGTATTCCTTGCTATACTCACAAATATTTAATGCCCGTCAGACATTTTAAAACCTGATTATCAAAAACACTGGTTTTTCTATTCTAGAATGTATGACAACTAAAGTAAAATGAAAGAGTCCTTATGATTCATATTGTATTTTCTTTAATAGGACTAATATTTAAAGAGAGGGACAAAGGCAGAGATGGATTGTCCAAAGATCAAAATGGCACAGTGGTCTCTTTGTCCCATCGACTAGAAGTCACTCTAGAGGCCTCAGCACTGCTCCCATGAAGCTTGTGAATGAATAAGTAAAATGTGGCACCTACACACCATAGAGTATTATTCAGCACTAAAAAGAAATGAGCTATCAAACCACGGAAAAACGGGAGAGGAATCTTAAATACATATTACTAAGTAAAAGAAGCCAATCTGAAAATGCTATATACTGTATGATTTCAATTATGTAACATTCCGGAAAAGCCAAAACTATGGAAACTGAAAAGATCAGAGGTTGCCAGGGGTTAAGGGGTAGGAAGGGATGAACAGGTGGAGCACAGAGGATTCAGTGCAGTGAAAATACTCTGCATGATACTATAATGGTACATACATGTCATCACACATTTTTTTCAAACCAACAGAATGTACAATACCAAGAGAGTACCTTAATGTAAACTATGGACTTTGGGTGTTATAATATGTCAATGCAAGTTCATCAACTATAACAAAAGTATGACTCTGGTAGGGGCTACTGCTGATGGGGGAGGCTATGCTCAGGTAGGGGCAGGAAGTATATGGGAAATCTGTGTACCTTCCTCTCAATTCTGCTGTGACCCTAGCACTGCTCTAAACATAAAAAAATCTTAAAAACAAAAAAAGTCTCTGAGGTTTCAAAAATGGAAAATGTTGCAACTGTCTAAGAGGATTAGAAAAAAGCCATAATGAAGAAAGGTGATGCCTGGCACAAATAATAAATAGCATAGGTAAATGTGAAAAAACATTTGTTATGTGTAAGACAGTCTTGGAGGTAGGCCTGGAAAACAGGGCCATACTGTGGAAGGTTCTGCTGCAGGAAGATCTGGTACTTACAGTTAGCACTAATAAACCACTTAAAGTTTCAGAGTACAAAATTAGTTAACCACAAGGACACCTGAAAAAATTGTGTAAGATGGACTTCACAGTATACCTAGTTCTAGCTATCCTCCCAGTCCCTACTTTTGAATCCTGCTAGTAATTTCTCACTTTCGATTCTTTAGACGGTGTGAGAAACTTTTAAAAAATATTAGGTACCACAACTTAGTGTAAACAGCCATTTTCATAAACATATTCTCTATAGAACATATTTTCATAAACATATTCTCCATAGTATTATCTAAGTCATGAATGATGTTAGCCTGAAGAAACTTCTAGGGAAGTTGACTTTATACATTCTCATCTCCTTCCACGCTGACAGTAAATTATGTAAATTAATCTTTAAGAACAGACCTTTAAAATCAGTTTTAAACTTCATTATATCCCAAACCCGATTCTCGGAAGGAGCTGTTGACCTTGTCCTTCAGCATGAAAAAGAGGTATCATGTACATACAAGTACTTTCATGGGTTTAAATCCTTGCCCTACACTTATTAGTTGTACACCTGGACAAGTTACTTAACCTTGATCTATAAAACTGTAATAATGACATGGACTACCTGAAAGGATATTGTAAATATTACATGAGTTATTTTGGGGGGAGGGCAGATATCGTTTTTAATGTTTTTATTTTTATTTATTTATTCTTTTTTTAGAGACAGGGTCTCACTCTGTCATCTAGGCTGGAGTGCAGTGGCATGATCATGGCTCACAGCAGCCTGGACCTCCTGGCCTCAAGCAATCCTCTGCCTCAGCCTCCCAAGTAGCTGGGACTACAGGCGCACACCAACATGCCCAGCTAGAGTTACTCGTCTACCTCCAAATCTGTAATGAAGAATTTGAACTCAGCTGTTCAACTTCCATCTACATTTATGCTTGTGATTATTTCATGCAGTATCATAGATTTAAATATCACCTATATGTTAATAACCCCCAAATTTCTATCTCTAGTACAGAGGATTTTTTCCCAACTACCCAATTCTGTCTTCTCCCTACTCCCAACTATCCAACTGCCTACTTGACATCTCCACTTGTTTTACAACTTAGAAGCATCCAAACTCTCAATATATCCAAAACAGAACTTCTGACATGCCCCAAAACCTACTCTTCCTCTTTCTTCTACAACTCAAATAATGGCTACTCTTTCAGCTGCTCAATCTAAAAGCCTTGGAATCCTCTTTGCCTCCTCTCTTTATGCGATTACCCACACCCTACCTGAACAATAAAAAAAATCCTATCAGCTTTTCTTTCAAAACATATACAGAAAGTATTTATACATATACAAAATGCAATCACTTCTAATCACCTCCATAGCTACTATCTATCTTGGTCAAAGCCACTATCATTTCTCACACGCATTATTACAAAAGCCCACCTCTACTTCAGCTTCTACAAACCATTCTTAATAAAGAATCCAGAACGGTCCAGTCAAAATATGTTTTCTGCTTCAAACCATTTAATAGTTTCTCACCGTCTCAGTGAGAAAAAAAAGCCCACCTCCTTATTAAGACTTCAAAGCTTAACATGATCTGGCTGCCTACAGTCTCTCTAACCTGTACCTCCTACTTCCCTCTGTCATTTATTCCACTCCAGCAACACTAGTCTACTTGCTATTCTTCCTGTACATCAGACATATTTCCATCTTTGGGCCTTTAAATCTCTGTTCCCTTTGACTGCAATGCTCTTCACTCAAAATACACAGAAATTCACTCTTTCACAAACTACAGGTCCTTACATAAAGGCCTTATACTTTTTCAATGAGAATTGGCCAAGCCACCAACCCACCTGTCACTCAAAACTGCCACTTCCCTCCCTGCCATAGGATAATTTTCTGATATACTGTATTATTTTTTAATTTGTTTATCATTTTTATAATTTATTGTTTCCATCCCTACCCAAATGAAAGTTCCAAGCAGGTAGGTGTTTTTATTTGTTTTGTTTACTAACAGATAGGTTAATCAATCATAAACCAAAGTAATTTGTTTTATATAAAATGAATATCTAATTTAAGTCTCTCATTCTGAAGGAGACAAATTAAGGAACAGTTTGACTCATACAGAAGCAATCAGTAAGGAGCACAGTCCAGAATAAAAGTAGGTCCCCTTGGTCTCAGCCTGAGGCTTTCTTCTGCCAGGGCACGCCGATAGGATGTAAGAGAATACATAGAAAAGTAATTTTTTAAAAACAGGCATACATACAGATAAACACACAGATACATACACAGACACATCTCACATTAAAATATTACCACTGCCCCCTGGACACGGTGGCTCACATCTGTAATCCCAGCACTTTGGGAGGCCAAGGAAGCTGGATCACTTGAAGTCAGCAGTTCAAGGCCAGCCTGGCCAACATGGTGAAACCGATCTCTACTAAAAATACGAAAACTAGCCAGGCGTGGTGGCGCACACCTGTAGTCCCAGCTACTCAGAAGGCTGAGGCATGTGAATTTGTTGAACCTGGGAGACAGAGGTTGCAGTGAGCTGAGATCACACTACTGCACTCCAGCCTATGTGACTGAGCAAGACACTGTCTCAAAATAAAATAAAAAATTAATTAAATTAAATTAAAATGTTACCACTGCCCAGTAATAATGTTATATAAGGTAATTACATTCTCCAAACAAACTTTTATTACTTACCTCTACCCCAGATTTTTTTGGTATCTGCATTACAGTTTCTTTGAATTTATTTGCCTTTTCAAGTTGAGCTTTAAGTTGTTCAGCTAATTCCTTCGAAAAGAAAAACAAGTAAAATATGTGTGACATGTAGTTTAATTCTTTATGACAAAACGTTCAAATTTACACAACAGAAGATAAAATAGCATAACAAAACACTCCTGTAGCCATCACCTAATTTCAATTACCAACTCACAGCCTAGTATATTACTCTTTAATGAGCTTATCTCAGTTACAACCTTCTTGAATACCTGTGACATGTGTTCATGCTTCAAAGATAAATAATTATAAGAACACATATTTTGGAGGAAACAGATGAAGGAAATACATAACCTTAATGACATTTTTAATAATTCCTAAATATGATAAAAGTTCAATACTTTCAACTTCAGTTTTTGGTAATGAAAAAGCTATCATGAGACCGAAAATGTTACCTTCTTGTTTATAATTTAGATGAAAAATTCTGAATATATTTCATTTTTACTCGAAGAAACCTATATAAACTTATATAAAACTGCCATGTAAAGCAATAAACCATGAATAAATTAAATAAGTAGATTTATGTGACATGCAAAGCAAGCTCCACCATAGTGTTCTTCCTGAACACAAGAACACATATTTTAACCTCTTACCTTGGTGACCTCTCTTTCATTTCTTTAATTCCTCTGTACTTTCAAAGCTCAAACTGTACTTTCTTGCTATCGTTATTACTGTTTTTGGTTTATTTCCCTTACCAATTTCTAGGATGAGTAGAAGTTCAGTGTTTCCAGGGAACAGATTCAAAAAGATAGAGCAGCATATGTAAGATATGCCCTTTATTAGACATAACTAACTAATAACAACAGAAATATCTTGTTTGGTTACCATTTGTTCTACTATAGTGTTGTACCAACAGTTTACCAAAGCATAAGATTACTTAAAGATCCCTTGTACTTGGGTTTGAGATGAGTGCATATGTATGACCATGACTGAATCTATTCTACCAAGATGTGCAATATCTGGCTGTGCTGTTCTGCCATGTGCACTTTAATACATATTTCACTGTATATTATTTTAACATACATGTGCCACATACTAAATGAATGGATGAATGGATAAATACAGCTCTTATCAAATCATTCCTACTTCTTACAACTCTGAGGTAAATTAGTCTTAAATCAAACTTTGCTAAAGGAATTAAATGAGTTAGCCTACACAAAGCATCTAACACAGTATTAGGCACAGCACATTTACTTAAAACTTGAATAAATGACTTAATCCTCCTTTTTTAGGTTCCTAAGTAATCTGGAAAAGTAATAAGCATTCTTAACAATACATGACAAAAATGAGGGAGAAAAAGTGCTATCTTTATCTCGCTTAAATATGCTCAATGAGTTAGGAATGCTGGAATAAAGCAAATATCAAAGTAAAAAAAATTTAAAAGCACGCAGTTCCTTAGGATCTTAAATTTCAGAGATCTGACAGAGAAAGTAGATCATTTACTTGGAAGTAGGCAGATAGTACTGTTCACAGAAAGGTTCAAAAATTTCTTTCTTTTTCTTTGTTTTTGAGACAGTCTCGCTTCATCATCCAGGCTGGAGTGCAATGGCATGATCTTGGCTCACTGCAATCTCTGCCTCCCAGGTTCAAGCAATTCTCCCATCTCAGCCTTCCCAGTAGCTAGAACGACAGTCACGCATCACCATACCTGGCTAATTTTTGTATTTTTAGTAGAGACAGGGTTTCACCATTTTGGCCAGGCTGGTCTCAAATGCCTGACCTCAAGTGATCTGCCCTCCTTGGCCTCTCTAAGTGCTGGGATTACAGGCGTGGGCACCAAGCCAGGCTGAGAGTTTCTTCAAGGAATCGATAACCAACAGTCATTTTCACAGTGTGCTATATCCACACTGCTAAAGAACTTCTAAAATTCCTCACAAGAAGTTAAATATTCAATCACTATTCTCCAAAACAACATCTAAGAGTCTTACCATATTCCCCATCATCTCTGCTTTGATAATCTTGGCTCCCAACTTGTTCTTCTCATCAACACTCAGGATGTGAATGGACTCATGCTCTGGACTGCTGTTGGAACAGGACAGATTAACAGCATATGAATTACAGGTGCAATGCAAGCAATAATATCAAGATTCAAACATTATTTTAACTGGCCTCAATAAAGCATTCAGCACCAATAGGAGATCATGATTGTAATGCCTGAAAATGAAATTCAGTGTTCTACCATAGTTGATAGTTTAAAGTTCTCTGTTACACTGCCACAACTGCCTATGGCAGTTTTAGTAACTGATCAAAATCTCAATAAGAATGATATAAATAATATTTACCAACTCTTCTTATTTAGTATCCCCATCCTCGTAATTTTAAAAAGGAAACAAACAAAAAACTAGAACCAGGCCATAATTCTATACATCTTTGGAAACTCTTCTCATTAGACATGATAAGTTGTCAATAATCTAAGAAACTATAAAATGATATATTTAACTTCATTCAAAGAATAAAAGCAATAAGCATGTGCTTTTTTATAAAGTCAGTCCAGAACATATAGTCATATAATACAAACCAGTTTAAAATTGATATCATGTGTCAAACCTATACTATAGAAGCCTCACACAAAAAATAAACCTCCAGCCAAGGTCAGATTTCCCTAGTTTACTACTTTAAGAAATAAGTCAAGGCTACAGTGTAGGACAGTGACCTCAGGCAGAGCCTGAAGGACTTCTGTGTAAAAGAGACATAGCCTGGAGTCCAAGAATTCCAAGGTAGCTAGAGTTCACAGAACAGAGTACCAAAGAATAGAAAGCTGCACCAGAAGAAAATCCCAGAGAACTGCAGAGGGTTCCCCTTGAGTACTCAGCAAGGAACTACCTGCAGTCAGGGAAAGAACTAACCCAAAGGATTAGAGGTAAAATATTTGGCATTCCTGGGAACTGCATGTCCAGTCCCACTAGCCAGACTAGGAAATCACATAATTCAAAAAGCAGTAGACGCAGTATTAAGAGTCTTGCTTCATTACTGAGAAATAACATGCCCTAGACTAAATGCTGCTCAAGGCCCAACCTAAAAAAACTTGAAAGGATCAAATGGTTTCCAATTAACCATATTCCAGAACAAAGCTCAAGGATATTTAGAGAAATTCAAAAATGTCTAGCACTCAACAAGGTAGTCTGTAAAGCTTAGTCTAATCAATGATGATCAGACAGGCAAATCAGGCAAATAAGTAGAAAAACACAACCCATAATTAGAACAAAATGCTATCAGTCAAAATCAACCCAGAACCAACACAGATTTAAAAAACAGCAGACAAGGATACTAAAAGTGATTATTATAACAGTGCTTCATATGTTCAAAAAGTCAGACACAACAAAGATATAAAAAAGATCCAAAATAAACTTCTACAGATGAAAACTACAATATGTGAGATGAAAAAAAAATGCTATATAAGATTAAAGATTAAACTGTAGAAGTAGAGTTTGGTGAACGTGAAGCAATTTTCTATATGAATTTAAAACACAGAGAAAAGAATCTGTAAAAATGAAAAGAGCATCAGAGGGGTGTGGGACAACCTTAGGTATCCCACCATACATGTAACTGAAGATAACTATTTTAAAAAATAATATATTTGAGGTTTATAACAAGCATAAGACAAATGTATGACAATGCTAACAGAAAGGAAGAAAAGGGAGAAATGAAAGTAAACAATGATAAAGTTCTTATACCATACAGGAGTAGCATCACTTGAAGATAGACTATGATAAGTTAAAGGTATAGTACACCATCAAAAACAAAGCAAATTTAAATTACAGCAACCAGGGAAATGAAATGGAATGGAATCATAAAAATAATCAAAACAAGTGAGAAAAAGAGGAAAAGGTGAACAAAGAATAGATGGAAAAAATAGGTAACAAAGAGCAAAATTACATATTTGAACCTAATTATATCAATAACATTATATATAAATGGTTCAAATACCTAAATTAAAAGGCAGAAATTATCAGATGAATAAAAAAGCAAAACTCAACTACAAACAATGCTTTATAAATACAGACATAAGTATGTTAAACATAAAAGGACTGAAAAAGATACACCACGTTAATGCTAATCAAAAGAAAGCTGAAGTGGCTACATTAATATCAAACAAGATTATGGAGCAAAAAATATTGCCAGGAACAAACAAGTTCATTTCATATGAAAAGGAGTCAATCCAGCAAGAATGTATGAATACATGAGCAAAAACTGACAGAAGAGAAATAAACAAATCCACAATTATAGCTGTAAATTTCAATGCCTCTCTATCAATACTTGATAGGATAAATACAATAGTCCCCCATTATCTGCAAGAGTTATCTTCCAAGACCCCCAGTGGAAGCCTGAAATCTTGGGTAGTACAAAACCCTATCTATAGTATTTTTCCTATATATACATACCTATGCTGTCTGACTTATAAATTAGGCACAGTAAGACACTAACAACAACTAATAACAAAATAGTACAATTATAACAATATACTGTAATAAAAGTTATATGAAGGTGGTGTCTCTTGCAAAATACTATATTTTCAGAGCACGGTTGACCATGGGTAACTGAAACCACAGACACTGAACCGTGGATAAAGAGGGACTACTGTAAACAGAATCGGCAAGCATATGGAAGTCTTGAATAATACCATCAACCAGCATGCCCAAATGGACATTCACAGAACACACCGCCCAACAAGAATAGAAAACACAATCTTTCCAAGTGCATACAAAATATTTCCTGATAAGAAAAAGAAATATAGGGTATTCAATTAGGAAAAGAGGAAGTCAAATTGTCTCTATTTGCAGACGACATAATTGTATATTTAGAAGACCCCATCGTCTCAGCCCAAAATCTCCTTAAGCTGATAAGTAACTTCAGCAAAGTCTCAGAATACAAAATCAATCTGCAAAAATCACAAGCATTCCTATACACCAATAACAGACTAACAGAGAGCCAAATCATGAGCAAACTCTCATTCACCATTGCTACAAATAGAACAAAATACCTAGGAAAACAACTATCAAAGGACGTGAAGGACCTCTTCAAGGAGAACTACAAACCACTGCTCAAGGAAATCAGAGAGGACAGAAACAAAAGGAAAAACATTCCATGTTCATGGTTAAGAAGAATCAATATCATGAAAATGGCCATACTGCCCAAAGTAATTTACAGATTCAATGCTATCCCCATCAAACTACCAGTGACCTTTTTCACAGAACTGGAAAAAACCACCTTAAACTTCATATGGAACCAAAAGAGAGACTGCACAGCCAAAACAATCCAAACCAAAAAGAACAAAGCTGGAGGCATCACGCTACCTGACTTCAAACTATACTACAAGGCTACAGTAATCAAAACAGCATGGTACTGATACCAAAACTGAGATTTAGACAAATGAAACAGAACAGAGGCCTCAGAATTAATGCCACACATCTATAACAATCTGATTTTTGACAAACCTGACAAAAACAAACAATGGGGAAAGGATTCCCTTTTAATAAACGGTGTTGGGAAAACTGGCTAGCCACATGCAGAAAGCTGAAACTGGACCCCTTCCTTACACCTTATACAAAAATTAACTCCAGATGGATTAAAGATTTAAATATAAGACCTAGCACCATAAAAACCCTAGAAGAAAACATAGGCAATACCATTCAGGACACAGGCATAGGCAAGGACTTCACGACTAAAACACTAAAAGCAATGGCAACAAAAACCAAAATAGACGAATGGGATCTAATTAAACTTAAGAGCTTCTGCACAGCAAAATAAACAATCATTGGAGTGAACCCACAACCAACAGAATGGGAAAAAATTTTTGCAAGCTACCCATCTGACAAAGGGCTAATATCCAGAATCTACAAAGAACTAAAACAAATATACAAGAAAAAAGCAAACAAACCCATCAAAAAGTGGGTGAAAGATATGAACAGACACTTTTCAAAAGAAGACATTTATGTGGCCAAAAAACATGAAAAAATGCTCATCATCACTGGCCATTAGAGAAATGCAAATCCAAACCACATTGAGATACCATCTCACACCAGTTAGAACGGCGATCACTAAAAAATCTGGAGACAACAGGTGCTAGAGAGGACGTGGAGAAATAAGAACACTTTTACACTGTTGGTGGGAGTGTAAATTAGTTCAACCATTGTGGAAGACAGTGTGGCAATTCCTCAAGGATCTGGAAATAGAAATTCCATTTGACCCAGCAATCCCATTACTGGGTATATATCCAAAGGATTACAAATCACTCTATTATAAAGACACGTGCACACATATGTTCATTGCAGCACTGTTTACAATAGCAAAGACTTGGAACCAACTCAAACGTCCATCAAAGATAGACTGGATAAAAATAAATGTGGCACATATATACCATGGAATACTACACAGCCATAAAAAGGGATGAGTTCATGTCCTTTGCAGGGACATGGATGAATCTGGAAACCATCAATCTCAGCAAATTGACATAGGAACAGAAAACCAAACATCACATGTTCTCACTCATAAGTGGGTGTTGAACAATGAGAACACATTGACACAAGGAGGGGAGTATCACACACTGGGGTCTGTTGGGGGGTGGGGGGACTAGAGGAGGGACAGAAGGGCAGAGGAGATTGGGGAGGGATAGTATTAGGAAAAATACCTAATGTAGGTGACGGGGGGATGGAAGCAGCAAACCACCATAGCATGTATATACCTATGTAATAATCCTGCAAGATCTGCACATGTACCCCAGAACTTAAAGTAAAATAAATTAAAAAAAAAAAATATATATATATATATATATATATATATTTCCTGAGATATACCATGTTCTAAACTATAAAAACAGTCTCAATAAATTCAAAGGAATTCAAGTTGTACAAATTATGTTCTTTGATCACAATAAAATTAATTAGAAATCATTAACAAAAGCCTCTGGAAAATCTTCAACTATAATATTTGGAAACTAAATAGTGTACCTGTTAATAACCCATGGGTCAAAAATAAGACCAAAGGAAAATTATATAACACATGTCAGAAGTGGTGGAATGCTG